AAAAAAAAAAAAAAAAAAAAAAAAAAAAAAAAAAAGAAAATATGGAAAGCTGAAATGGTAGAGATAAAAAATTTTATATGCAAATGATGTATAAAGCCAAAGACTTGCATTCAGAATATATGCAGAATTTAACAGTGTGTCCCAGATAATTTAAAACTTGGGCTGCTGGTGTAGCTCTGTGATAGAGCATTTGCCTAGCATATGTGAGGTCCTGGGTTCCGCTGCAAAGGAAACTATGGGAAAAATTATGAAATTGGATACCAAGACACAGATGTTCACAGCAGGTTTATTTCTTACACTAAATTAGTGAGAAGCACCAAATGCACTTAAAATGGTTCATGATCACATGAACTCGATTATATAGTGCCATTTAATAGTATGGTACTCAAAAATAAAAAGACATCAAATATTGACACATGCAACAACTGGGATGGAACTTCAGATCATAATACTTCAAAAACAATGAAGTCAGTCTGAAAAAGGTTTTTATTCCAATCGTTACATACTCTGCACATAACAAATTTACAAAGATGGGGAATGGATTGGTGATTGCCCTTGTTAGAGAAAACAGGGCGTAAATATACAGGGGTAACATGGTGGAGGTTCAGGTCAAAAAGCAATGCATGAATTTATTTTAGGGAAATTAGAGCTATTCTCTTTCTCTCTTTCTTTCTGTCAAAGGAATATAAAAATATTGGAAATCAAGATCTTTATTGAATAGTGTATATCATGAGGATGAATACATTATCATATAAACTTTTGCCCCTATGTCTTTTAGTGAAGCGAATTGTTTATAAATCTTACTTAGTGAAAATATTAAATATTGGAGGAAAAACTTAAAATCTTAATTTTGACCTTGCTAAAGTAGTTTCCAAAAGTTTACCAAACGATTATAGATATACATTGTAATGTTGCATAAATATTAAAATGTTATATCTCATAAAACATTTGGTTTGTTTTTATAATTTAGTTTGTATAAAGAAGGCATGATTGGAATCTAATGTTTATAACCTCAGCATTTAATAGGACTGACGCATTTAGAGCAAAAGAATGTGTGAACTATAAGTTTGATTTAAAAATACCCAGCTCTTCCCAGAGTTCTCTTTGTCACTTATATAAATTTCCTCTAAAACAGAGTATAATTTTCTAGGACATGTGTCATAGAATTCCAGCTTAGTGATTTTTCTCACTACTTATTCAAATGAAGCAGCCAGAAATCTCTAATGAAGTCACAGTTAATGCTGCTCACCCTGACATAATTTCTGTAAACAGGATTGCCTTTCACCATAAGTGCAGGGAAAAACCACTCTGGAATATTTACCCTTATAAACCTATCTAACACTTCTAAACCAAGGTGAGCAAGTAATAAAATTGAAGTATTAAAATCTCTACTGAATACATGAACCAATAAACTTTTCCTGAATATTATAATATATTTCAAAGACTTCAAGCCATTCTACGGTCAGTTTTTAGTTCAATGAATTAATAATCTAAAGCTCAATAGACATTGTAAGTTAAAACAAATATTTAACAACTACAATTGACACTAAAATTAGAACTAATGTAAAAAGAGAAAAAATATATCTCAAAAGGGAAAATCGTTAACAAAGTAACAAATATGGAAACTATACATTAATAAATTTAAATTTAAATTTCTGTTGTGAAGAATTAAAAACTACTGTATAAATTATTCTATATTTTAAATCATCATTAAAATTGATTATTTAATGCTAAATGAAAAGGCTCAAAGCACAATGAATGACAATGTGGATTCTTAATGCTGGTCAAAAGGAAAGCCATTTGACTAGAAAATATTAAATACAGTTACATTACAAATATTACACACATGTAACTGGAAACAAAAATTTTCATATTTAAATAATATTCATAAAAGAAAGTCCTTTTTGAAAAACATTCATTGACAAAATGAGAAGCTATATTCTTTGTATAACACTGTCAAAATATTTTTCAAGTTAAGCCTTTTGCTTCATGTGTTACTAAAAGCCCCATTTCCTCTTAGGGCTATAGCCTTTCCTTTGTTTATTCCATTGCTAGTAAGTGGCTTAATATTTGTGAACAAGTAAAGTATTTTCCTGATTTCTAGCCATTCATACCCTTTACTGTAGTCCTCTTCTTCTGCTGCCTTTGCGTTCTGTGCTGACTATTGAGATCTGTTGTCCTTCAAAAGAACTCCTGCTGTCCACCCCTCCTGCACTGGAGGAAGTCTCACTTCTCCACTCCCACTTTTCCAATATTTCCTTTCTCTGCCTTGCAAAACTCTTCTGACTGAAGGTCCTTTTTCCTCCCTTATCCAATAAACAGAAGTCCTTTGCTATCCCTCAACTTTCAAGTGGGAGGGAGCCCACTTAGAAGGAAAAGATAAGGAAATTATCATTTTACTAACAAGGCACAGAGGAGGCACAAATGGAGCACCAGTCACAAGCTACAGTAACATTTACAAAAAGGAATTCATTTCTTTTATCCAACCATAGATTTCTATTCTTTTCACTTCTGAACATTACCTGGCCACTGGTCATATTAAAAACATGAAATTTAAAATGCAATTCAGAGCACTTTATCCTGTTTCATTGTGAATTTTTCCACTGGAATTAGTCTGTCAATACATTACTTAAAACACAATATGGAGCATGTGTGTTGTGTTTCAAATTGTCACTTACTGTGGTCCAACTGACTTGGCGGCCTAAGTCTGTAAAATAGAGTGTGACAAGTGAAGAAGCTGCGACACTCTGGACAGTGATGTAGTCCTTCAAGAAAGGCCCACCTAAAAGAAAAATAACAATAACATTTTTCAATATAATTCCAAGGGGAAATGATAAGAAATCCCTTAATATGAAACAGTTAATGCTAATAATTCACTTTACATGGAAATTACAGAGCACAGTGATTCTTCAACTTCACATAAACTGTGAACAAGTTTAGTTTTGTAAAGATATATAGCAGTTTTCAAAATGGGCAAAAATTCCCCAGGGCTGTCTAATCAAAATAGAGACTGTTCTATTAGTTATATGAAAGTATTTTTTAGGTCTTAATCAAATAAAGCACAGGATGTTTAAAACAATATCACTTTAGATGTGAGTGGTGCTTCATCTCAGCTCTACTTGAAGTGGCTTCATTACAGGGTAGACGAACTCCAGTGGTCACCGCAAAGCATGGGGAGTGCATGGTTACCCTTCTAACACACTGCTCTGGACCCTGCATGGAAAGGGCAGAGACACAGAAGAGACTACTGGGGAGACACAGAGGACGAGCGATCAAGCAGGAGACCATGTTCATTTCTATTCCCATGTGACTGGCAGAAATGCCTGTAAATTACCAGTTGCAGATATATTTGAAACACACATAGGTCCAACATGCTGAAGAACCAGTTGAGTGGCGAGGCTGTAGGAACGTAACACAGTTCCTAGAGTTTCGGTCTGAATGCTGACATGCATTGATTTCGTTAACTGTCATGAAACAGACAGAAGCAGGCTAAGGGAGTGAACATTTAGCACTCCGTTACATGGTATGGTAAGTGTGTAAATTCTAGTAGTTATTCAAGGAAGGCCTGTCCGGTAGCTCCTTGGGTGTATGCTGCTGTAGATATCTGAGAGTCATGAAAGTGTAAAGTGCATCTCAGCAAGTGAGATGACAGAACAAAGGTGAGTGGAAAGGAGCCACTCAAAAACCATTGCCAAATAAGTGGAATCAATGTCTTGGAAGATTTTAAACACTTCATTACTAAAGACACATCCTGACGCGGTACACCGGAAGATACATAACAAATTTACTTTGAACAGCATTTGCAACAAAAAAAATACTACAAAAAGGTGATATTGTCCTCAATAAGGTAATATAAATATATTTGGTTTTATTGAAACAAATATATACTTTGCAGAAATAAAAATAAGTACACAGAGTTACATGTACCAAAATGAGTTAATTTTATAGGTGCAATGCTGCTGTTGTTATTGTATTATTCAATTTTAGTTGGTGGTACTTTTGTGACATATCATCCTTATCATGCAAAAGTGTCATTATAACCTCTACTTTTTAAAGAAAGAGAAAAATGTTGATTTGTGTCTACTATTACATGAGTTTCAGAATACAAGAAACTGTATAAGTGAAGATATTTTAAGGTAAAATGAATATGTATATGTATATAATTGTGATCTACTACATCTAAAGATACTGATTTGATCAATCCACTTTGAATACACAGATAATTTAGATGAGTATAAGAATATAGGTGACTCTATAAGTACCTATTTTTTTTAAAGAAATTCCAAAGTGAGTCTTTATTATAACAGGGCCTGCACTGCAGCCCTTGGGTTGGTGCTCAGGAGGAAGCCCACTTAGAGCAAAGCCAGGAAGTGGCTGAAGGAGGCTTGTGTCCCTGAGAGCCAGTGCGGAAAGCTCCCCAAGTGCGTTGTGTATGCAAATGAGGGGCCCAGATCGCTCCCTTCCTGACATTAGCCTTGGGAGTAAAGGGCACCCCCTAATGAAATCTATTCCATAGTTTTCTTTTACACTATCTCTTTTAAATGCAGTGTTATTTGTAAAACAAACAAAAAAAATGTGCTCATAAAGATAATTTGGTATTATCTCAAAAGTGCAAATGTAGCTGAGGTTGGCTAAAGAGATGAATGTGGTTTCTGATTTGTTATAAAGATCACTAGATTCCTGGCCTCTATTCCTGGCCTCTAAATCCTCGTAGGAGTCTGGTAATGGTAGGCTACATTTTCTTTTGCTTAGGTTATGTTAAAGAGCTTTTAAAAAGAATATTATCTAGGTGAGCCTGACCTGATCATATGTGTTTTTATAATCCCAGAATAGAGGCCAGAAAGAGAACAATTCAGAGATTCACTGCATTAAAAAGATTGTGCCACCGCACCGTAGGCTGGAAGATAGAGAAGGCCAGGTTTCAAGGATGTAGGTGGCCTCAGAGAGCAGGACTAGCATCCAGCAAGACAACGAGCACCCCTGTCAAACAGCTGCAAAAAGGAAACAAGCAAAAATACAAACTGAAAAACTGTAAGTTATTCCAACAACGTGAATGAAATGGGAGTTTTCAAGAGGGGTCTGCTGCAGCTCAGAGCAATGCTGAGTCAGAGCCTGGATTCGAGTCTCCCCATGTCCTGAGCAGTGAATTCAGCCATATGCCAATGCAATCTGATCCATGGAATTGTTATAGATCTGTGTTAAAGCTGTGGTAATGTGTTACCCAGCAGCACACATATGGATTAAGGAAATATTGTAAGTATTATATCCAGATAATCCATATTCCCAAGTCAATCACGTGTAAGAAAATGTTAACAGGAACAGAAAATTTTGATCACTTTGTCCAATTTGTTTCTGTGAAAGCTTTCTGATGCACATTTGTTGGCCCCCTTAGAGAGAATATTGGTTTCCAGGCCTTTAACATCCTTGTTTCCTTCAAGGAAGAGAGCATCAACATCATTTTTAAAATGTGGTCCCTGATGAATAATGACACTTTGAAAGAAAAATAATGACAAAGCCAAGTAGTACTGTGAATCATATACATCATTCTGAGTCTCAGGAATTGAGACCCATGTCCACAGCCTTTCAAGAATATGTACTTTTCCAAATGGGGAGAAAGCCAGGAGAAATACAAAGCTGGAGCTCTTGCTACTCTTTTTAAATCATGCTTTGTCCAGTTAAGGTTCTCAAATTCCTTGCCCAAGTTAACTCAATCTTTGCTTTGTGTATTTCTTTCTGAGAATGGACCAGGCTCTGTGCTGTGTATCCCTAAAGCTAAGGGTTTGTTAAAGCTATGAAGCTTTAACATGAAAACTGTGAATAAAGCTTCAGGTATTATTTGGAAGCAATGATGATAAGAAAATCCAGTGATTATATGCTCTATCACCATAATCTAGTATAAACTTTAAAGGATTTGGAATCTTTATTAGCTTTATCATACAAACAAAACTGTAGACAGGTAAATAAAAGAGTCAAAGTTAAAATTTTGTGTTTACCTGAATATACTTTTCCTATACCACACTCTCCTTCCTTTATTAATTTAATGGACTCATTCTTTAAATATATATCATATTCCTTTCCAAGATTCTAGAATATGTTGTTCTTTGCTCTGATGACATTCTAGCACACTTGGACAGGTAAGTAAATGTAATAAAAAAGAAAACTGTCATATTCAACAGAGAATCGAAGTAACGAATTCTTCAGCCTCTTACAGTGCCTTCAAGTGGACGTCATATCTGACCTTGTTCCCAAATACAGTGTTGACAGGCATTCTCTGTTCAGAATGCTCACAACCATTTCACTTCATGCATGCATAAGGATCCATGAGAGAAAGATAAAAGACAATGATTTTGCTCATTAACATTCTATTCAATTGTATAACTGACTTGAATATCTGGACAAGAAAGATTTTGAGATGATCAAAAAGTGTGACTTCTAGCTGGATGTTGTGTGTCGAGCCTGTAATTCCATCACTCTGGGTGGCTGAGGCAGGAGAATTGCCAGTTCAAGCCTGTACAATGTAGCAACCTAGCAAGACCGTGTCCCAAAAGATAGATATGTAGATAGATGGATAGATAGATAGATAGATAGATAGATAGATAGATAGATATAGATAGATAGATAGATCTGACTAGGCTTGCATCTCAGAGCAAAAGCCTTGCATTCAGTCCTCATTAATGAAAAAGTGTGGTCTCTTAAAATGTTATAGATTCCAATTTCAATTTTCAGTATACAGGTGTCAGTAAATGATTGAATATTTAAGAAAACAATGATAAACAAAACTATAGAGAAATTTAGGAATATCATCACTTTTTAAAGTTTCAATAATATCTGAGAATAGATAACTTAAATATCAGCAAATGAAATAAAAAATTCAGTTCATTATATAATGGAAAATTTAGAGATTTAATTTTTTTTATCAAGTGCCTCCTGCAAATTGTCTGTTTTAAAAACTGTAGCTGTCCCCCTTTACCTGAAAAAAGAAATGGAAAAAATGGAAAGAAAGAAAATAAAAGACAAATAAAAAAGCCAGAGTTTCCATTAAAATAAAAAATCTCATATTTAAAGTCAAATAAATGTAATATGAATAATGATGATTCCTAAATAGGATTTACTATTAAGGGCATCTATTGATACATTTGCTAAAAAAATGAGGTTTTAAATTCCAAAAATCCTGAAGTTTAAGAGTGGATATGATACTTCTCCATATTCACTTTTTCTACTTCATGATGGGAGAATGATAATAAAACTGGTTAAAGAGACAAGCATTATCCCTGAAAATATACTAAAGACTAGGAGAATGATAACGGCTCAGCAGTTAAAGCTTTGGAGAAAGAAAAATGTTCGATTAGATGTCACCTTTGAGAATCAGAGACAGCAAATTGGTAAAAACCATCCCTTTGATACTAAACTTTATCAGCTATAAAAATGAAGCACTAGCTTCTTGGGAGGATCAAATAAGTATGTAACAAGCAGTAAACATCAGCTATTCATGATATAAAAGGGATTCTAAATTCAACGCATGAATCACTTATTATTGGTTCTTACCACATTCTAGCTGTAGCCCAATTCGAGAAGGATACCACTTTGGACCTGTACAATGAAACATAACATTTGATTACTGGGAAAAATATGAACATAATTTAAAAATCTAATAGTTCCTATTGGAAAACAGATTACGTAGATCTTGGAAAGAGAATAAAATGGTTCTGCAGTGTCAGAACTGTGTCTGGTGAGTGCCTCTGGTGGAATGCTGCCCTGCTGAGGTGTGCAGCAACTGAAGCATTCATGAGCTGGGCCTCAGGGCGGTGATTTTCTACATTTTGATTTTGCTACCTATTACATAGGCATGTTCAGGTTTTAAGCATGTGCCAATCTGTGTCATCTCTGATTTATGCACTTTATGCAATTTATTCATTAGAAAACAAAATGACCATGCTTACCTAAAACAAGGGACCTTTGATCTCATTTGAAATTTATCTAATTTTCCCACCTGAGGGTGGGTTATCTTCTCCAGAGGAGTATGGCACTCGGTCAAAATGACATGTTATTACACCTAATATTGTGAATCCAATGATACAGCAGAAAAATCACTTTTGTGTGTTCCCTTCATACCATTATAGGGAATAAATTTTAAAGAAGTTTTCTGTACAGGAAAGCCAAAACATCTGTGTTAAACACTTCTGTAATGCAAAATTGATTCACAATTAACAGAATATAATCTGTTACTCTTAATATAAATTCTATACCATTTAATTTAGAATCTTCACTGAAAATTTACTTCACTGAGATCCAATGTGAAACAAACTTATCTGATATATAATAACCTGAAAAAAGAATCTTTAAAGGAACAGTCCACAAGTGCCATCTTTATTTTCAAAATATCCTATTTTAACATGTCAGCAAGAGTGTTGATGATGTTCTATAACTAGACTTATAAGTCACTTCTTTCTGAATTGACTGCAAAAAGACAAAGCATGGAGAATCTCATTGAAAAGTCATCCATAAGGATAATTACAAGTTAAACATGTCTAGAATTACTTCTAAGAAAAATGTCATAATATTACAAAAAGTAATAATGCACAAAAGTGTAAAATTTTATATGTTTTAGAAAACATGTAGGTAGGCACTGTCTTTTTTAATATTTACTAATATAAAAAAATCTATCAAAGATGACAGTCAAATTAATACTACAGAGTAAACATATAGATTTTTGAGTTTGTAAGCACACTCTGAGTATTGAACAAAATTCAAATCTTATTGAGTCTATTTCTATTTGGCAAACAATAATTGAATACCTATGAAGAGTGTACATAAGCTGTCATACTTTGTCGACTTTAATAATATTCATTTCAGACATCATTTTTCATAACTCTTTATGATATAAATGCGAAAGTAAAATTCCCTCTCTAAGCAGGTGAAAACTTCCATGTTGGCATGAGGCAGATTAGACTGGAAAAAAAGCAGAAAAAGAAATCTGTAGAGCATGAAGGACGTGTAATGGAAGGACTCATAGAATGCTGCCTCAGTTAGTAAGTTATTTATATGCTGAGTACATTAAGGTTGGACAGCTGGGCCACAGCTGCCTTAGGACTACATGAACTCCCTCCAAGTATTCTGGCAGTGCATTGCTATCATGGAAGACACTGAACTTAATTTGTGTGGTCGCTATCGTATTTCAACCATGCTTTAGAATTCTTTCCTTGATAATTTGAACTGTTCATATAATCATGTAATGAAACTCTAAATAAGTAATATCTTGTTATAAATAAAGATATACTTTAATAATATAGTTATCACTAATGACCCATCTGTAAGTCATGTCCTAAATTCACAACAAATGATTAGAAATATAATTGAAAAACAATTATGAGCCTGACAGTTTTTTTTCAAATACCACCTTATTTCAGAATAATCTTATAAGGTAAGAAATGAACTAACAGCATAATGTGAGTGGATTAAAGTGAATTGATTTTCCAGAAAATAAATGGTAATGGATCTTTTATGTTTAAATAAAAACAGATTTGAGTTCCACACATAGTTGTAAACTCAACACTTTAAGGAAGAGACCATTGAGAGAAAATCTCATGCTGGGTGTGGCATTACACCTGTAATCCCAGTACTCAGGAGGCTGAGGGAGGAGGATCATTGTGAGTTCAATGCTACTCTGAGCTACAAAGTCAGTTCAAGGCCAGCCTGAACTGTAGAGTAAGAACCTATCTAAAAAAAGACAAAAAAAAAAGTCATTCATGACACTTGGTCATGATGTGGCTTTTCACATGATTGTTCAGAAGCATTGCGTGTTTCACATAAGGAAGAAAAAGTTTAGGGAAAATGAAATTATTTCTAGAAGCCAAAACATAGCTAAATGGAATAAAATGGGGTTGCTCAGAAAAATAATTTTAAAATTAATGTTTGTCCAAATATAACAATTTTTTAATTAAAATAATTAACAATTGATTTTCCCTCAGATGTTTTATATATAACTGTATAAAAATATATAAATATATAATTTATAAATATATAAACATATTGTATAAATATATATATGGAACAGATACCAAAGGGGGAAGTTAAGATGAAACCTTAAAACACACATTGCTTTCTTTTCAATCCGATTCCTTGCAGTTGGCTATGGTGTCACATGCCCATAATCCTAGGACTCCAGAGTGGGAAGGAGAAGGATTGGTGTGACTTTGAGGCCAGATTGAACTGCACTGTCAAGCTCCATCTTAAGAAAACCATTAAAAGAAAATCTCATATTATTTTAAAAATAATACCTGGAAGCTTCTCATTACATCCTTTCAGCAAACTTAAAAGCATTCATTGAGGTTAATATACAACATGATTATCAAAATAAAAATATCCTATCACAGAATGTTCATGTAGAGTATGAAAGAGACAAGTTTATAATTTATCACTATCATCATATATATTTAAAAAGCGAAGTTCATTGTGGCAGAAAACAGTGCATGAACAGGGACGAAGGGTGAGGAACAGACAGGACCCCATGGCTCTGCTCCCCTGACCCACACAGCACCCAGGAGTTGGAATCACCAACCCCCAAGCAATGTCCAAAAGCAATCCCATAGACTCTCTTAACTGATACAGTGATTCTAAGAAAAAAAAAAAAAAAGGCAGTGAATGGGATGGGAAATTCTAGTCAAAAGAAAATGATTGTATTTGAAGCATGTAGTCTATACAGTAGAAAGGCAATTCTAATATGAACAAAGTACTACGAGAATCCTTGGGAATTAAGGAAATAAATTTTGTTTTGGAATACAGAGAATACATAGAGCTACTACCTTTAGATAAAATGTGAATTTCCCTAATAAAGATGAGAAGCCAGAAGAGGAAATAACCAGGCTTAAACAAAGAAGAAAATGAAAACTGTTGAGTTATTTTTGTTCACACAGCTTGTCTAACTCCTATGCAGCATGATGAAAGGGTGTAACATCTTAGTGGGTGCAATGGAATGGGTTCTCATTCTCCTGAGCAAATATATCTTTTTTTAAATACAAAATTGGGACCAAATCTCGCATTGGCAGGGGTAAAATCTACTCCTCTTCCCCAGTCATAGATAAATAAATGCATCTTCCCTGATAACTTGTATGCTGTTCTTCCTTCTACTATGGCATAAATCCCAATAGATCCTTTTTGATGATACATTTTGCCTTTTCAAAGTAATTGGACTTTTGACACTAAGAGTGGGTGTCACACAGCCCTGCTGGTCCCCCAAACCACCAAAAACTATTTGTAAGTAGCAAGAAAGGCTGCTAGCTCAAACAGCTGATAGCTGCTGACATTCAAGTTTTAGAGGTCTTCACACTAAATAGTTGCACTTAGTCTATTCCTGATTTCAATCCAAATGGAGTGAAGAACCCTCAGCTGGGCGACAATGTTAGGCTTTGGTGTTCAGGTGTATATGTCTTTTATGCTTTAGGAATCTTTTAATTGAAATACTAACAAAAGATGGCCTAAAGCTCTAATACTTCTGAGGCACCTAACACTAGAGAAATAAACCTTTGGGGTGCCAGCCACTCAGTGTAGATCACATAGCAGAAGACCTGCAAGCAGATATATTAGCAGGTTAAATTAATAAAGTAATATGAACAATAGGAAGAGCCAAAGAATACCATAAAAAGTTGAGTTTCAGAAAGCATCAGAAATGAAGAAAAGGATAACAATCTTTCAAGGTTATTTAAAGATGCTTAAAGATTTATCAAGTAGAATCAAAACCACATACAAAAGTAACTTGATGCAATAAACATCATAGGCTTTTTTGACAAATAATCAAATTAAATTTACTGAAACAGAACTTTTTCTGTGTGATGAGAAAGAAGCAGAAGAAATGAATAGACAGTTTGTAGTACCGGCAAAAGACTGCTTTGGTCAATTGGAAGATAGGATTAAAACTACTAGGAAGGCACAAAGGTAAAGGGGTTTAGAAAATATGGGAGCTAGATCTTCCACAGAAGGGAGAACGACCAGGAGATGAAGGAGCAGGGATGGAGGAGGGGAAAAGGGATGAAAAATGAATCAAAATGTGTTATGTGCATCTACACATGCCCATGAGGACTGAAATCATAATGTACTGAAAACATGTTACTAAAGAAAAAACTGGAAAAGCAAAAAAATGAAAAACAGAAACTAAATGTAAATAATAGCGTACCTCATCTGCCATTCAGAACATAAGCAAATATAATACATTAACTGCGATGAAAACCTGAACGTTTCATTCCATCCCTCCTACCAACAAAACTATTAAAGTGTGATAAATATTGTATCAAATTATCCCCAGAGTGATTAAAAAGTAAAAGACAATGAAGCCAAGATGAGGGAGGGGGGCGGAATCCACGCACTGTCATTGGAAAATCTGGGGCAATTCTGTCCCGGGATTCCCGCATGCACTGGACTAGGTTCCCGAGGAGCTGGTGAGTGGGAGGAGCACGGCACTGACTCGCACACTAGGGAGCTTCGTGTGCAGCTGAAGTGAAGACCTGGGAAAGGTCCAGTTTTTCCCTTAGAACCCTAAAGTGTGAAGTCAAAATAGATCATTTCTTATAGGGATGAAGTCCAATTCTAGTCGTCTC